CTTCTTTCTTTTTCTTCTTTTCTTTTCTTTTCTTTTTTGGTTTTTGGTTTTATGAGACAGGGTCTTGCTTTATAGTTTAGGCTGGCCTTGAGCTCACTATGTAGCCCAGGATGGCTTCAAACTCAGGATGATCCTTCTGACTCAGCCTCCTGAGTGTTGGAAGTACAGGCATGTGCCACTATAACCAGCTTCCCAATTTCTTCTTGATTATAGGTTTGCTATTGAAGTTTAAAAGACCTACATATCAGCAATTTTCCATCCTTTGAGTGTTAAATTAGCTAGCTAAACCATGTATATAACTCTATATATACATAGAGTTGCTAGTATATGCAGTTGCTAGCTTTCTATCACACTCCAAAAGTGAATCCCTTGGGATGGTGGACATAACCTAGGCTTTGGAGACAGATGGAGCATCTGGATTTGGGTTTTGGTTTGAACACATTGTCATTTTGAGACTTTGAAAAATTACAGATAGCCCTCATTTAATGATGTACTGGACCGGATTAATGGCTGGTTGGATGGAGAACCAAGGTGCGCTCTTCAGACCTATACCCTTTCTTTTTGTACAGTTCTGTACACCTTGCTTATAGACCCTCAGTCTCTTTTTTTGTATGGTACACCTTGTTCATACAGTAGTGTAATTTTTGCTGATTGTACTATGCAGTACTGCTTTGTTACACATTACAGTACTGCATGTAAGAGTTACGTGAACAAAAGCAAAGTCATCAAGTGGGAGTTTCCTTGGACCATGTCTTTGTTGTGAGTATTGTAAAGTATGTGCTAATACAATTCCTCACTTAGTAACCAATTCATTTAATGATTGAGTCAACCGTCAGTCGTTAAAAGAGGAATGTTTGTAACCTCAGTGAGACCTCCTAGTGCTAATATTAACTCTCTGCATGGCTTCTGTGATTGATGGGCTTTGGCTGACAGTTCAAAAAACGCTGTCTCAGAGGTAAACTGCTCAACTTGGCGTTGGGTATATTAAGATTTGAAAGCAGATTTACCCATTTCTCTCCCTTTCCCATTGGTACATTTTTGTCTGTTCTGCTGCTCAGACTCCTTGTTATCCTTTTTTTTTTTTGTCTTTTTGAGACAGGGTCTCGCCATGCAGTTCAGGTGGCCTTGAGCTCACTCTGTATCCCAGGCTGGTCTCAAACTTGCAATGATCCTCCTGCCTCAGCCTCCTGAGTGCTGGGATTACAGGCGTGTGCCACCCCGTGCAGCTCTTTTGTTGTCCTTGGGGACCGACAGTGGACACCACCTCAGGCGCTGGTCACAGAGCAGCTGTTCGGCCTCTAACATCTGAGTGCTGTTTCTGAGCAGCTCGCTTCCAGCGCTCAGCTGTGACACCACTGCCTACTCTGCAGAACTCCAGCCTCTGGAGATTTTAATTCATTTGTTACCTCAAGCCTGTGGGAGGTGCAGGCTTTGCTCCCACATTTCCAACACTGTCATCCAGTGCTGGAATAAACATTCTGGAAGGCCAGCCTGCTGCTTCTGTTCTTCCCTTTCCTGGCTGGACTGCCAGCATCGGGTCACGTTGATTGAACGCCCATGTGTGCCAGGTGCTACGCTCTTGCTAAGTGCAGGAATGGATGGACATACGGGTAGACGGAGGCACAGCCCCTCCAAAGGCTCCCGTCTGTTGGGAGGGGCAGGAGATAGGTCAGGAGCAAGTGCTCCTTTCCACACCTTTAGACGCTATGACAGCCCTCCTCCGGGGTCTCCGGTGAATAACCCTGGCTGAGCAGGGTCTCCGTCCTGGTGTCAGGCAGGCAGAGGTGAGGTCCTGACCTCAGGGACCCACTGTGCTGTCTTCCATGGTGTGCCTGGCCGTGTGGACGGTGACGATAGAGGGTATGTGAGGCATATAACTAACCGTCAGACGTGATTTTATGGCTAGTGCTGTGTAAGAGAACACAGAAGTAGGGTTTGTAGGCTAAATAATGGAGTTGTCTTGAAGAAAACCGGTTAGTAAGATGGTAGCTGTGCCCGTCCGTGGTGAGGGGTAGTGAGGCAGAGACAGGTGGACGGCGCGCTGTACTGAGGAAACACCGGTAAGCTTTGTTTTCAGCCCGGTCCCAATTAGACTGTAATGAAGGCCCGGGCCGTAAGCATGGCTTTTCCAGACAGTGGCATGACCTGGGTGTTTGGCCAGGGCGGGCCAAGGTGCATTTCTAGAGCATCCCTTGCAGCAGGACAGGGAGATGGGAAGTGGCGTGACGTGCAGCGAGAGGAAACAGCCTGTGCGTGCACACAGAGGGACAGCGTGGCACCGCCAGTGGGCTCCGGGTGTCTGTACGGACACAGACGCACACGGTGGAGTGGTTCTCTCTCTGTGCTTCTGGAGTCTCACCTTTGGGGTTTTTTTACCCCTTCCTGTGGTCTGAGTGTTACTGCGTGAACCTGTGTCCCTTTTTGCACCCTGCCGTCTGGAGAACTGAGTCACCGTCCTGACCCGTGGTGTCCCGTCTTGCAGGTGTGGGGGCACAGTCGGTGCTATCTTCACGTGTCCACTGGAAGTCATCAAGACCAGGCTGCAGTCCTCGCGGTTGGCTCTGCGGACCGTCTATTACCCGCAGGTTCACCTGGGGACCATCAGTGGTACCGGGGTGGTGAGACCAGCCTCCGTGACGCCGGGCCTCTTGCAGCTTCTCAAGTAAGTTCGGCCCTGTGCTGTTCTGTCACTGCTTTCTCGCCCCGCTCGGCGCAGCCAGCCCCGCAAAGGCCTCCACACGAGGTGTTCTGTTTTCCTGCGGGCTGGGAGCAGGCTGAGGAGCAGGACTTCTTCCCACCGCCTTTGCCTGCGACCTCAGGCCTGGGCAGAGGAGTCTGGCCGTGCGTGTGCCCATGAGCCAGGGACTGCGGAGCAAACGGAACTGCAGAGCAGACCCAGAGCCTGTGTTGCAGTTCTTGCTCAAATGTTTGAGGGCTAAAAAGAAAATAAAGAGTGGTAGGGTACAGTTTTTTCAAATTGCATAAGACAAGGGTTGTGACCAATTTAGGAGGAAGTAATATGGAAATGAAATGTGTTTTTTACTTTTTATTTTTCTTTGGAAATAATTTTAAACTTAAGAGAAACTTCTCTGCTTTATATCTAGGTTGTCTGACCATTTTGTTATTTTTACTGCAGGAAAAATACGTCATTTTGCTTACAAAGTAGCTCAGTATTCCTAAGTTAACTTTAGCCTATCAGTCTTTTTTTTTTTTTTTTTTTTTTTTTTTTTTTTTTTGGTTTTTCTCCGGTACCAGGAACCGAACTCACGACCTTGAGCTTGCCAGGCAAGCGCTTTTGCCGCTGAGCTAAATCCCCAGCCCCTAGCCTATCAGTCTTTAAGCTTAAAGCAAAATAAAAATATTTGGAAGAACAGCCGGGCACAACAGCGCATGCCTATAATCACAGCAGTGAGGGAAGCTCAGGCCGGAGAATCACAAGTTTGAATCCTGCCTAGGCAATTTAGTGAGATCCTGTCTCAAAATAAAAGTCAGGAGCCTGGTGGCACACACCTGTGATCCCAGCACTGAGGAGGCTGAGCTAGGAGGATCGCTGTGAGTTCAGTGTGAGTTCGATTGCTATGCAGCCTGGCCTATGTAGTGAGTTTAAGGCCAGCCTGAATGGCATAGTGAGACACCCCCACCCCGTCTCAAAACAAAGCAAAACAAAACAAAAGTGTGTAATAGAAAGGGGTAGGGACGTAGCTCAGTGGTAGAGGGCCCCTAGATCTATCCCTGGTACCACATCAAAATTTCAAAATTCAGACAAGCACTGGACATAGCTTAGGACCTACTTTAAAAGGGATGCTTTGTAAGTAATAGTTGAATTCAACTCACTATGGTCCTCAGACTGAAGTGTTCCCTTGGGAAGATGTGTTCTAGAAGGACGCTGTGTCCCCAGGCAGACACGAAGCTGAGAACCATTAGGAAAGAAGCAGTGAGCGGAGATACCCGTCCTGGGAGCCGGGCGCTCGGTGGTGACACAGAGAAGCGGGGTGAGGGCCTGGTTGTTGGTGGGTGCTCTTTCCCAGTGAGCACACACACCGCGGGCGTGCGCATGGAAGGACTAGCACTGTGGTGGGCACGCCGGACTGCTGGGTACCAGGACCCATGTGAGAACTGGCATTCACTTCGGAAAGGGAGGCCTTCGGGGGAGGCCCAGGGATGCGCTTTTGAAGTTAAACACTGAGGGGCATGGAAGACCCAGAATCAGGAGGGGAGGGATGGGCGCAGGGAAGGTAGAAGCTGGGAGCTGTGGAAGATGCCCGAGCTGGCCTCGAACTCAAGACAGTCCTCCTGCCTCAGCCTCCTGGGTGCTGAGATGACAGGCAAGGGCCACCACACCCAGCCTTAAAAGATTACTTTCACAAGTAGTACTGTGTATTTCTCAGGTATTATAGCAACCTCCAGGGATCAGTCCTGAGATCTGCTGTTAGCCCTACACAGATAGAAGGAAAGAGCATACCGACATCACGCCAGATGCCTGGCTGACTTATTTCTAAGGAGGATTTGGAGCAGCCAAAGTAGGGTAAAACAAAGGACCACCGGAAGGGCCCGGAATGGAGGCTGAGCTGCTGTGTCTGAGGTGCCTGCTGTGGAGACTCTGGGCTCCCGGCTCTGAGACACCAGGATTCGTTCTGGCCCAGCCGCGGCTGCTGCTTTGCGTCTTTGCTGTGTCTGCAGCAGGGGTCCCCCCCGGGGGAGGGAGGGATCAGCTGAGGAGGGGGATCAGCTGCCCCCTCCTCAGCGACAGCCGCTCCCTAGTGATGGCACATGCCCAGTGGCTGTTGGCACTGCCTGCGTGTGATCAGCTTCTCCTGCTCACCTGCGTGACAGTGCAGCCACTAGACCAGGACGGCACACCCCCAGCCCTGCTGCCCCGTCGTCCTGGCTCAGCTGGAGCAGGTCAAAGCCGGGCAGACCCGGGGCCTTGGGTCTCCTGGTCTTGAGCAGATCGGAGGGTTCTGCCTTCAGAGTCCACATGGAGGCTGGCTCTTCTCCCGCCTCTCCTGCTGCTGTCCTGATGGAGGGTTCTGAGTCACCTGTGTCCCTGCACCCCAGGCCCCCACCGCTCCACCTGAGACTCAGCTCTCACTGTCCCTGTCGCCGAGGCGTGCAGAGCCCTGCACCTTGAGCACTGTTCCCTCTCTTCCCCTCAGGGACCTGGCTCCTTAAAAGGCCAGGGGTGCTTCCTACCCACACAGGGTCCTTCTGCAGTACATAACCTGATGGCTTTGTCACCTCTGCAGGAAGGCCCTACGGTGTCCATGGCGTCACAACTGAACCCCACGCCCACACCTCCTTCCCGCAGGACTCTCCCCAGCACTCGCTGCAGCTGGCCAACAGTGCGGGTTCCTCCTGTGCTGATCACTGAGGTAGCACCCAGCACTTCGGGTGTCAGCGTGGCACAGACAGTGGCTGAGCAAATGTGGACAGAGCTGTAGGCAGGGCATAGAGAGGGCTTAACGGCACGCGCCCCCCCCCCCCATAAGTAAGTGTTGGCTGCCGTCCCCACAGGATGTGCTTTCCGTGCTTTTGCGGGGAGGATAGTTGGGGCTGGCTCCAATGCACAGTGATCTCCTGCCCGGCCTGCCGAGAGCTGGTGTCACAGCATGTGCCGGCACACCTGGCTTCTGTGCTTTTTAAACGTGACGTTGTGACTGAGTTTCTTGGTGGCCAAGGCAGAAGGACTGTCATGTCATCTAGTTGTGGTGTGGAAAGCACCCCAGCCTTGAGGGACAGCACGAGCCTTCTCCTGTAGCAGGGCTGAGAGCAGAGCCCCGCCCCTTGCCGGGCCTGTGCTGTCAGCCCCAGCCAGGGCAGGGTGGAGAGACCCTGTGTGTGGGTGCTGCGCACAGGCCGAGCAGACCCTCCTCCAGTGCAGAGCCCATCACGGCTCCTGCCCACACTTGTATAGTAAAAGCCCAGCGCACCCCTGTGACCCCGACACCTGGGAGGCTGAGGCAGGATGATCAGTGTGAGTTTGAGACCAGCCGAGGCTACACAGCAAGTTCAAGTCCAGTCACATAGTAAGACCCTGTCTCAAAAAAAGAATAAAAGCACAGTCATCTGTCTATACCTCAGCTGCTTGTTACTTGCCTTACTCGTTCAGGAAGTGCTGCTTTAAGACATTTGTCAGGCGGAATTTGTTTACAGGAAGTTATTTTCAAAATGTAAATCATTGTGTGCCGGTGTCTATGAGCAACCTGTTAGAGAAGAAATATTCTCCATTATCCTTTGATTATTGTAGGTAAAAAGAAAAAAAGGCAAGGTGTTAGATTCAGGCTCTCACTGTTAAATTTATAAGAACAATAGTGTTTTATTTCAGATATCTGTCTTTTTTTTTTCAGTCTTTTTGACACAGGGTCTCACTGTGCAGTTTAGGCTGGCCTTCAACTCACAGCGGTCCTCCTGCCTCAGCCTCCTGCGTGCCACCAGAGCATCTGCTTTTTAAAAAAGTCTTTTGGTTTATTATTATTATTATTATTTTTTTTTTTTTTGGTCTTTTTGAAACAGAGTCTTGCTATGCAGTTCAGGCTGGCCTTGAGCTGACTTTGTAGCCCAGGCTGGCCTTGAACTTGAATGATTCTCCTGCCTTAGCCTCCTGAGTGCTGGGATGACAGTCGTGCACCACCACGCCCGGCTCTATTTTTCTCAATAGAGCTCTGCTTTCTGAACTGCTGAGGCATAACGCGTATTTGCTTTTCCAAGTTCTCTCTAATCTGAGACGTACTGTGGGTGTCTGTGAGCCACCTTGTATCTTCGAAAACCTGCCGTGTGCAGATGAGCTGCTGGCCTTGGCTCAGTCACCAGTCTGCACACTGTGACCCACGTTAGTGAGGAAGTAGAAATGAAGCTCAGACCCCAGCTTGTCTTCCAGGTGCAAGTGGACGTGACTGTAGGAAAGTGAGTCCGGCCCTCCTGCGCTGTCCCCAGGCCGAGGGCGCCATTTATAGCAGGAGCCGGACTGTTCCCAGGGAGGGCTATAAACAGCCAGCTAGGTTAGAGTCTGGATTATGTAACAGATTGACTCTGTGCCAGCGCTTAATACGCGTAGCCGTGGCGACCGTCCTTCCTCAGTGTCCGGAGTCACTTGAGGACATGTACTGCTGGCTGCGTTAGGGCTGAGGTGCTCCATGTCCCGGGCCCGAGGCCCCCGGGGTCATGTCTTAGTGGCCCCCAGGCTGCAGCACGCGGTACTGGCCACCAGGGGTGAAACCGCAGCTTGAAGATTGTCGTACCAAGTTGGTTGGCATCTTGGAACTCTTTATTAGGTCCTGTGCAGCAAAGTGAGGTCACTTCACGTTGTGGAGAGAAAGGCTTATTTTTTTGTTTGTTTTTTTGGTACCGGGAATCGAACTCAGGACCTTGTGCTTGCCAGGCACGTGCTTGTGCCACTGAGCTATAATCCCCGGCAAAAGAAATGCTTGTTCAGAGAGCGTGGCCTTTTGAAAACTGCTCTGAGAAAGACGGTAAAAGTATTTTAACTTGAAAACATCCAGTTCTCATGCCTCTGTTGAGAGCCAGATGGCTTGTTTTGGGCCAGTGTGAATATTCGCTGCAACTCTAGGAATTGCATTTTGAAGTCTTGTGTTTATGGAATCCCAAGAATTGTGTTTACCCTAATTCCTGCTTCTTATTGATCTCATGGGTTTAAATCATGATCCTAGTGTTTTTATGACCTGTTGTAAGACTTTTTGTGAAAAGAACTTCGTTTTTCTTGAATTTTGAGATACAGTCTTCTAAGTTGTCTAAGGTGGGGTCAGACTTGGGATCTTCTTGCCTCAGCCTTCTAAAGTGCTGGAATTCCCAGCGTGTGCTGTCATGCTCAGTTAAGAAATTTTATATCTTTACACTGTACTACTTTTTAACTGTTCTACAGTCTGTTTTTTCATTGTATCACTGATCTGTTAAAAGCAACTGATTTAGTCCAGGCTATTCAGGAGGCTGAGGCAGGAGGATCACTTGAGCCCGGATGTTCCAGGCCAACCTGGACGTCATAGGGAGACCTCATCTCTTAGGGGAGGAAAGAAAAAAGCATATAGTTCAGTTGTTTTAGAATGTTCACAGGGTTTGTGCAGCTGTCACCACAATTTAATTTGGAACATGCTCTTCACTACGAAAAGAAACCCTTTCACCTGTGGCAGTCATGCCCAGCCCTGGCCCCAGTCCTAGGCCGCCACAGTGACCTGCCCTCTGTCTCTATAGCTTCACCTCTTCTCGTTTCTTCTAAGCAGATCATGTGTGTGGCTTCTTGTAACTGGCTTCTTTCATGTAACCTGACTTTTTCAGGTTCCTCCTTATTCCTTTATTCCTTTATTTATTTACTTTGGTCTTTTTGAGACAGGGTTTGCTATGCAGTTCAGGCTGGCGTTGAGCTCACTTTGTAGTCCAGGCTGGTCTCAAACTCACGACGATTCTCCTGCCTCAGCCTCCCAGCCTCAGTGCTAGGATTATAGGCGTGCACCACCACACCCAGCCAGGTTCCTCCTTATTCCGTTTGTCAGTGCTTCCTCCTAGTTATTGTTGGGGTCGTGTTCCGTTGTATGGTTCTTTTAAACTCATTACTTTGTTCTTCCCCAGGTACAATGGGAAAAAGAAAACGTCTGCTGCCCCTGTAGGGCTCTTGTGTACATGTGCCAGAGCTGTGTCCCTTCGTGTGCTTGGCCAGAGGGTCAGTCTGGGCCACACACTCAGAGGGTCTTGGGGTCACTTAAAAGTGCCTGTGGCCAGGCGTGGTGGTGCTTGCCTATTATCTCAACACTCATGAGGCTGAGGCTCAGGAGGATTACCGTGAGTTTGAGGCCAGGTTGAGCTACGTAGTGAGTTCAGGGTCAGCCTGGACTCTAGTGAGATCCTGTTTCAAAAAACAAAATAAAACAAAAGTGCCTGAGTTTATGCCTGCTGGTAAGGAAAAAAATCCTATAATTAGAAAAAACTGTTGCTAATATTTTGGAGTAATTATTATCATAAGCGGAATGGGGGTCTGCCTTACTACTTCTAAAAATTATAATGGCTTTGAGATTCACATACCATAAAATTCATTGTATTCTGGGAGTTTTGTTTATTTCTTTTTGTTTTTTGAGACAGGGTCTCACTATGTTGTTGAGGCTGGCTTTGATCTCACTGTGTAGCCCAGGCTGGGCTCGAACTTTTGGCAATCCTCCTGCCTCAGCCTCCCAGGTGCTGGGATTACAAGCATGTGCCACCATGCCTAGCTAATTCATTGTATTAAAGCATAAAATTGTGTGAGTTTTAGCATATTCAGAGTTAGTGACCATCACCTCTGATTCCAGGACATTTTCATCACCTCCAAAAAGAAATACGTGGGGCTGGGGATTTAGCTCAGCGGCACAGCGCCTGCCTGGCAAGCGCAAGGTTGTGAGTTCGATTCCTGGTGCCACAAAAAAAAAAAAACCCAAAACCCAAAAGAAATACGTATCTATTTATAATTGTTCCCCCATTCTCCCTCCAAGAACTTGAGGATATGTAAAAAGGTGAGAAAGAAAAATGAGTCACAGTGTTACCTTTGGACCTGAGACACCAAGCTTTGAGTTTAAATAACTTCAAACCTCCTGGGCTTTTCTATGCCTTATTTCCCTGTTTAGGGCTCTGCTATAACCGGTTAAGACCTGGAAGGCAGGATTGTTATTAATGAGCTGTGAATACAAAAGAAAGGGCGTCCAGAGAGTCCAGAGAAATCCGCGAGCCTATTTCTCATTGAATCTTTTTATAATTGAGGACATTGTAGTGCCAGCTGCTCGTCCTGCCTTAACAGGATTGCAGGGTGCAGAGGAACGCTGAGCATTTCGCTTCTGCTTGGAGAAGGAGGAGGCTGGTTGCCGTGTGTCTCACGAGTAGCTTCGCAGCGTGCTTTTCCTCTGTTAACGAAGCAGGCTCGGCAGCCCTCTGGTTTTAGGCGTCCGGGGATCGGGAAGAGTCTGGGGTCCCTTAAACATTGTGTGTCAAGAAACTCATCCCAGTTTGTCTCCTCTCCTGGGGCATAGGCCTTGCTCAAGGGGCTTCAAGGAGTGTCTTTTCTCATCTTCCAGGTCAATCATGGAGAAGGAGGGACCAAAGTCACTTTTTAGAGGCTTGGGTCCAAACTTGGTCGGAGTTGCACCCTCAAGGTAAGCTTGAGCCTCGGGGCAGGGCGGGCCTGTGCTTCTCCTTGGATCTGTCTGCTGACCTCAGCCTGAGGCAGAGTGATGCGCGGAGGGTGTGTTTCTAGTGTGCCGGAGAAGGAGAGTCTGGCTTCTACTAAGCACGGAAATGAATCTGCTGCCCCACCTGTGCTCTGTGAATCAGCGCTCACTGCCCTAAGTGTGGCACGCGGTCCGCGCCCGTGTGAGGCAGGCACGTGTGAGAGCAGGCTCGGGCACAGCAGGCCTGCACCTACCCGTGCCCTCGGAAACACTGACCTGAGGGTTAGGGAGGCCTCCAGGTTTTACCGTCTATAAAACGACATCCTTGTTTGTTTTTTTTTAATAGGCCTTAGTTCTCTTTAAAGCCTGTTTGAATGTATAGAGCTGTACTGTCCGAGTGTAACAGCTGCTAGTCACTTGCACCTGCTTTTTGAAAAATTGAAGTTAATAAAGTTTAAAGGTTGAGTTCCTCAACCTCGCTAGCCGTGTTTGAGTGACTTAATACTCACCTATAGCTGGTGGTTCTGTGCTGGCGCACACAGATGCAGTAACGGCTCACCCCATCCGTGTGCAAAGCGCTTGCTCAGTGCTGGGGTCCGGCAGCACTTCCTTCCATCCACGGAACGTGTTCTGGCGGGCTGAGCAGGAAGGTGGGTTTTATAGACAGAGAAGGACTGAAAGGTGTGAACAGCAATCAGAAAGCACTTTGGACATTGCGAGTTACTGTCCTTGTGAGAAACAAACAGAAGCGGAGCAATAGTAAATCAATCCCTGGCCGTTACCAGGGCACCTTTGCATGGGGTTAAGCAGAGGGAACCTGACTATAAATCATCCTGCCAATGGAGACTGACCCTTTTGGGGAATCCATTTTGGGGACTTCTCTAATCCTCATTTCTTTTCTGTCTTCTTTTTGTGTGTGGGGGGGGTCTTTTTCTGATGGGATCTCACTATGCAGTTTGGGCTGGCCTTGAGCTCACTTTGTAGCCCAGGCTGGTCTCGAACTCAAAGGGATCCTTCTGCCTCAGCCTCCCGAGTGCTGGGATTACAGGCATGTACCACCATGCCCGACTCTGATTTCTTTTTTGCTTTTTTTTTTTATTTTTTTGAGACAGTCTCACTGTGTGGCAGGATTAATAATCCCAAATGCAATATCCTGGCCTAATCCTGATTTCTTAAAAAGCTTAGATAACAAACTAGCACGTGTGACTCCATTGTTTTTATCTGGTCCGTCGGGACCCAGGACAGGAGCTTGGCGCAGAACAGAGGCCTTTCTTAGGCTGGGTCCACGGCCGTCCGGCTCCTGTGATGAGTAGTGAGGTCTGCAACTGCCCCATTGGCCAGCAGCGAGAAGGACCTTCACGTGGCATCTGGGAACTCCGGGCAGCCAGGACGGGAGGGAGGGTAGGTTGCTGGAGTTACAGGCAGCCAGAGCTCTGCACGCTGGTCAGGAATGGTTCAGATGATGTTTAATTTTTTTGGTGGCAGGCAGAACAAGGGTAGACTTCTAGAAATTCACAGACATTAGGGCGCAGCATGTATCAGCGCCTGAGGGAGCAGCACTTACCCTGAAGGAAGACTAAGGACCCTGCGGGTGTTTTGCCCAGATCTCATTTTCCTCAGCTACAGCAGACACTCCTGTCACCACTGACTAGTTTCCGCACGGTGACCAGCGCCCGAGGCGGCGCCCGGGCAGTGTGGGTGTCAGTGCGGGGAGGCCATGCGTGGTTCCGTGTGGGTCCTTCCCTACGACACCGCCCCATGTCTCTCCCTGCTCCCTCGGAGGTTGCGGAGGGGCGTATGTATGTGATGCTGCCACAATGACGTCTTCACCGCAGTCTCTCCTTGTTCTAACAGGGCTGTGTACTTTGCATGTTACTCCAAAGCCAAAGAGCAATTTAACGGCATTTTCGTGCCTAACAGCAATATTGTGCATATTTTCTCCGCTGGTTCTGCAGGTATGTTCCTTGCTTCCCAAAGCACGCTTTGTTCTTTATACCGGGCATTAGATATCAGCTCCCTGCTTCCTTTGCACCTAAAATCATTTTTCAGTAGCTTTCTTAGAATTGATACAATATTCAAAGAGCAATTTGTAACTTGGTTTTATTTTCTCTGACCACTCAAGACTTTTTCTTTTCCCTTCCAATTTGTTTATATATTTTGCATGCTACCAGTCAGTGTTGTGCTTGTTGGGTTTTTTTGTTTTTTTTTGTTTGTTTGTTTTTCTGACACGGGCTGGCTTTGAACTCACTATGTAGCCCAGGCTGGCCTCAAACTTTTGGCTTTTATGGCGATCTTCCTGCCTCAGCCTCCTGAGTGCTGGGATGACAGGCATGCACCACCACAACTGGCATAGTGTTGTGCTGCTTTTAAAAGAATAGTAATGTTTTCGTGTCTTTCTGCTTTCTCCACTAAGTTATTTTCTAAAATCAGAGCTGCTTTCTTTGTACCTCCTGCCCACCTGATGTCAGGTGGGCACATCTAACAGCTGGTTGCACAGCAAGGTTCAGGGATCCGCATGGTGTTTCCCAGAGAGACAGTGACTGTGCTCACCACCCAGCCCGAGGCAGGACCTGCCCCAGGAAGGCTTGCAGGAAGGTGGACTTGTGGACCGCCAAGGAAAGGAAGCCTCCGTCTATGTACCGAGGTTTATATCCATTAGAGTCAAAAGGCACCGTAGACAACTTAAATATACATTTCAGAACATTTTTCACCTTCTGCCAGACTGTAAAGTGTATACACCAGCTTCATCTGCCTTTGTTAGTCTCAAAATTACCAGCAACCCAGCAATAGTCATAGCTTGATTTCTAGACCTTGAAGAGAAAATCACGTTAAGCAAAGCTGTTTCACACAAGAAAGTTTCACTTAATACATCAACAGGGACGTGTAGCATTCCACAACAGGTCGATCATCACTAAGGCTATTAACCAGTTTCGTAGCTTACAAAATTAACTTGGAAGAACCATGGGTAAATAAAGCCAACCTTGAGGGAGCTTTTTAAACCACCATCTTCCTGGTGGTGCATCTGTCAGCTTCCATGGACCCTGGAGGCAGAGGGTGTGAGGAGAGTCAGGCTCCTGCCACTCGGGAAGATTAGCGGAGTGCGGAAGAGTAAGCAATGGCGGACCCTGTGTTATCCAGAGCAGTCATAAAACACCAGGTTCCTGAAGTACAGGTTCAGATGTTTAAGTTTTTAAGTCTGAAGTCAGGTGAATGGACATTTAATTCTTTTACTCCAGGTTAGATGTATGGTAACTTTTGGATTGAATCAGTAAGGTTTTTTGTGTGGGTTTTTTTTTGCCTTTTTGAGACAGGGTCTCGCTGTGCAGTTCAGGCTGGCCTTGAACTCACTTTGTAGCCCAGGCTGGTCTCGAACTCACAGTGATCCTCCTGCCTCAGCCTTCCAAGTGCTGGGATTACAGGCGTGCGCCACCATGCCCAGCTTGGATCTGAAATTGTAAATTGAGTTTTTAAGACAGTTTTTCCTTGGGATTGACAGAAATGCCAACAGCACCGCCTAGAGGTTGAAAGGTGGGCTAAGGCTTGTGGAACTTGAGCAACGGCTTTGGGTCCACCAGTTGCAGTGGGTGTTACATTTCGGGGTGTGTAGCTTCCATCTGCAGCAGAAACCTGTACCTGCTTCCTGCCATTCATCTCTGCTAGGCCACTGGACTCCTGACTTCGAAGTTTATAATAAACACCAACCATTGTTCACTGATGACCTTTTCTCATGTTTATCTCTTCCAGCTTTTGTCACAAATTCCTTAATGAACCCTATATGGATGGTCAAGACCCGGATGCAGCTAGAGCGGAAGTAAGTTATTAATTGCTCCTTCTTCAGTGTAAGGGTCTTTGGGAATTCTTTTCTTCCCCCACTTGTAGCCGTGGAGTGAGGCATGGGAGTCCTTAGCCACTCCCTCTGCTTTTTTCTCAGTCTGAACATACATTACACAAAAATTACTTGTCTGTTTGTTTGTTTTTCTTCTTTTTTTTTGAGACAGGATCTCACTATGTAGTTCAGGCTGTGCAGGCTGGCCTCAAATTCGCAGTGATTCTCCTGCCTCAGCCTCCTGAGTGCTAGGATTACCGATGTGGGCCACCATACTTGGAAGTTTCTTGCGTCTTGAGAGTTGTACATTTTGGGGAGCAGATGCCACAGAGGTGACACACAAGACGGGAAGCTTGTCGGGTCCCGGCTGCCTTTGCTGATGGGCTCCTCTGGTGGCTCTTTGCAGACACCGCTCAGCTGGGGGGCTGGGGACCTGCCTGTGAAACCTGGCTTTCTGGGCGAGATGGCAGTAAGGATGGAACAGAACCCACCTGCAGGCCTGGGAGTAATTTGAATAAGGCCCTCAGACACACTAGACACTGCCCTGAAACTCTAGCCAGAGGTTCTTAACTTTTTTGTACTATGGATTCCCTTGGTATTGTAGTACAGCTTGTGTGCTTTAAAAAAAAACTTAAGGCAGCAGAAACTAGTTATTGAAATATAGTCATCAATGTCAAAAAAAGCCCTAAAATGCAGTAACATGCTTTATTACATTAAATAACACTATCTAACGGCAATCAGCAATTCCTGTAACTGCAAAGTGGTCATACTAAACGGTACTTTGTATATCTGTGACTAAAGTCATGTGATTGGGAAATAATTTCCCTTTGTGCAAAACCAAAGTACTAGTAATACGACTCTGGCCTGTCACCCCCATTCCTAATGGAAGGAATGCCAGTTTCCAGTAGAGATTGGGGGTAAGTGGACTCTAAGAACCTCTGCACTCTGTGGTCTAGAAATGTGTGCCCTAGAAGCTCCAGCAAGTCCAGTCTGCCTTTCAGCTCCTTCGGAGGAAGGGGGTGACAGGGAGCCAGAAGGCTTGGAGGGCAGAGAGGGCCCTGCCTTGGTTTACCTTCCTCTTAGTGTGTCTGGGACTCCTGAGTTCCTGGTCCACTCTGCGGGAGGTACCTTCTTTTCTTGTCTTTTTGAGACAGGGTCTCACTGTGCAGTTCAGGCTGGCCTTGAACTCACTTGGTAGCCCAGGCTGGTCTCGAACTTACAACGATCCTCCTGCCTCAGCCTCCTGAGTACTGGGATTATAGGCGTACACCACCATGCCTGGCCAGGAAGGTGCCTTCTGAGTGCCCAGGGCTGACCATCCGGGCAGACCCCTCGCAGTTCTCCCATGCAGCAGCCCTTGGCATGTTTGTAAAAGCTTCAGCGTGTGTCCCAGTGTGCCCGTCTCCCCGAGCATGCTGTCCTCACTGGAGTCCTCCTTCCCTGCGCTTGTGCTAGGGCTTCCTGATTCACCCTGACCCACTCCTTCCCCCACAGCCCTTGGTGTCACACTGCTGTGTCCGTGCGCAGCCTGCTGTCACTTCCATGCAGCAGGAGATAGACACACCGTTGGGCGGAGAGCCTTTCATGCATGCTTATCTGCCCACTGGGGAAGACGCGCTGGGGATTTGGTTTGGGCGGGCTCTGTTCAGGCTGGCGTCTACAGTGCAAGCTTGTGGTTCGCACACAGCAGGACATGGCTCTGGCCTCCTAGCTCACAGCTGCACAGCAAAGAAGAACTGCAGCCTAGTGGGACACGGGGCCCTGGCGCATCCCTGAGTGTCCAGGCAGGCTGAGGAGAGAGGAGGGGGTCAGGGCCCACTGAGGCGGCAGCACCCCCACACCCTGAGAGCGGCCAGGTGGGGTGTAGATGGCACAGGTGCACAAAAAGGCTTGAGGCCTGCAGGTCGCTCAGTCCAGGGACAAATCCCACGGTGCAATATAAAGCTCTTAATTGGCTTTATTTTGCAGTTTAGAATCAGCAGCACCGAATTCCATGCACTAGTGTCGCAGGGCGTCAGGCAGAAGAGGCTGGTCCTAGAGAAGGGCTGTGCATACAAGAAACAGCAAAAGGCAGGCTGGTCCTTTCAGAGTTAACTGGCCTCCCTCATAAGGTGCCAGCAGGGACACGGAGCTGCAGAAAAATAAGCGGTCAGTGTCACCGCCTTACTCTAGCTTACTTTTATTATGGAAGGAGTAAGGCGGAGGAACTAAGTGTAGAGATCATGAAATGAGAACTCAGCGTTTCTGCAGACGGTCCTCGTCCCCACACAGAGACCACTTGCAGAACAGCGCGATGGTAACGAGCACCTTCCACGCACGGTGTTTTGTGAAGCATGCTTTCGTCGTAACTGCACTTCGTATGTAACTTTGTCCCGCTTTCTCCCATTTCTTACTGCCACCGTGAGGACTTTAATCCAGTGCACGGCATAAAGCTCCTGTTTGTAGTCTGCATCTGGCGTGGCTGTGCCCCCTGCAGTGAGTCCTCTGTGGGGAGCGTCAGCCTCGTTCACCCCCTTGGAGCCAGGTCAGAGGTGCTGACCAAGGCCCTAAAGTGGCCATGGCCAAGTGAACCGGCCTCGTGCGGCCCAGGCGAGGGCACAGCTTTCCTCCGGAGGCACTACTGTGGGTTTGGCCATTGCCCGTGTCTCTCAGCGGCCTCTCCTTGTTTTCCCTCGGGCAGAGTGCGGGGCTCCAAGCAGATGAACACACTCCAGTGTGCGCGGTACGTGTACCAGACCGAGGGTGTCCGAGGCTTCTACCGAGGGCTGACCGCCTCCTACGCCGGGATCTCGGAAACCATCATCTGTTTCGCTATTTATGAGAGCTTGAAGAAGTACCTGAAAGCAGCTCCACTGGCTTCTCCCGCAAATGGAACTGAGAAAAATTCCACGAGTTTTTTAGGACTCATGGCAGCTGCTGCTCTTTCTAAGGGATGTGCCTCCTGCATTGCTTATCCGCACGGTAAGTTCTGGTGTTTGCTTCCAGAGCAGTAGGACAGCTGACAGGGTTGTCACTTCTCACTTCCTAGACACCTCCGTAGCACAGATGCAGATGCAGATTCCAGGTCGAGTCCTCCTCTTCCAACACGCCTGCCCCGGTTAGTGTTTGGGTTCGGGATGTGTGCGTCTGCAGCAGCTGAGCACCCCTCATCCCGGCACCACGCGCACAAGCTTCAGGCTGGTTCCTGATTAGGGGTGCTCACCCTGTTCCTGCAGAGGAGGGCATGGTTCGAGTGACACTGGCGCTAACACACCGTGTGCATATGCACAGCGAGAACTGTGCCTCCCTCGCTCCAGGGGATGGGGACAGAACTTGCCGAGCAGAAAGGTGGGCCCCTGTCGCCAACTTCTGGTATTCTCAAAGAAGCCCTAAAACTGCTTTGAAGGAATTTAAATGGGAGCTGTGCCGGCTTCCCATAGCTGTGACAAAACACCTGAGAAGATCACCTTGAAGGTGGAAAGATTTCTTGTGGCTCGAGGCCTCAGCCTGTGCTTGGCTGGCTCCCTGGCTCGTAGGCCAGAGGTGAGGCAGGAACCTGGTGGGTGGCTTGTCAGAGGAGAGGGGAAGCGGGGACAAGAGGATAGCTTCAGGCCCAGCCCCAGGGACCCAGGGACCACCGTGCCATAAAGTTAGTCCGTGAGGAACCTGTGACGGGCCCTGTGATCCAGGCACCATCCCCCGGGTCCTCTCCTTGGAACTATGCACTGGGGACCAAAGCCTCCAGTGCAGGGACTTGGGGACATTCCATCCCTAACAAAAGTGGACTCCAAGTCCCTCAGCTTGCACGTTGAGTGGGGAGCTAAGGCTACTTAAAGGGAGTTTATTTCTTAGCAATTTTATCATCCCTGCTTTGGTGCTTGGGTTCTACACATGCTGAACACATGACCCCTGGGCTATGCCTCTAGCCAAATTGTTGTTTGGGGGAGGGTGGTGTTGTTAGTGGGTTGTTTTTTTTGAGACATTGTCTCACTATGTAGTTCAAGCCAGCCTTGAATTCACTGTGTAGCCTTGGCTGACCTCAAGCTCACAGTAATCCTGCCTCAGCCTCCCAAATGCTGGGATTACCCATGACACGGGTAATCGGTCCAAGTTTTATTTCTTTAAAGAATTATAGAATTACCATCCCACTGACCTATTTTTTAAAAAAGAAACTTGGTTTATTATGCCATAAAAAACAAGTTTTCTTTTGAAGAGCCTCCTGCACTGTCAGCAGTGACAAACACACATGTCACCTCAGTGCCAGGCAGTGAGTCCCACTGTGTGCTGGGCAAACCCCAGGGCACTGCCTAGAGAAGAGGTCTTGGGTCTGAGGTCCACATGACAGGGCAGAGTGACCAGCAATAGACAGGCTGTGCAGGCCTGGAAGGGAGGCCAGGCAGAGGAGGGCTGGAGGAGGAGGAGCTGGCTCTTCAGCTGGACAGAAGCGAAGTAGGGAGGTCAGGGCTGCAGACAGAACTTCCCTTCCCCTCCTGCCCCGGAATGTGATGAGCAAAGCTGAACTTCTTCCTGCATTGTGTTGGTGCCGTACAGCATGTGCTTCTGTCCCTGCAGAGGTGATAAGGACGCGGCTCCGGGAGGAGGGCACAAAGTATAAGTCCTTCGTGCAGACGGCGCGCCTGGTGTTCCGTGAGGAAGGCTACCTGGCCTTCTACAGAGGGCTGTTCGCCCAGCTCGTGCGGCAGATCCCGAACACGGCCATCGTGCTGTCCACCTACGAGCTCATCGTGTACCTGTTGGAGGACCATGCGCAGTAGCAGCCACACACTGTGCTTAGAATAAAACTGAGAAACTCCAAGATCTTTGTTCCGTTGCTGTGTAGCGTGTCCAAGGCGGACACAGGAGAGGCCATAGCGTGTCTGGTTCGTGTCACCGTGGTGGACATTTCCTTTTGGATTCGTGCTTTCTGGAAGGTTTGAATTCATTAACGTTAATAGTTAATTATAACTTTTTTTTTTAACTTAAGAGGATTCAGGATTACGCAGCAACTAAATTAAATCATGCTATTTAATTAAGTATAAATTTGGTTTGTGTCCTTTTTATGCTCATTTTACTATACGCTGTAGCTAAGGAATTAAGTGTTTCGGTGAACTGCGTCCTGGAAACAAAAAGGATAACATGAAAGCACGCGCTGCTTTCCTCTGCCTGTGGGGTGATGCCTGGCAAACGGAGGTGTGGTGCCACGTTCCGGCACTGCTGTGGCAGCCTTCCCAGCCGTTTCCCTTCTGTGCATTTCCAGTTCACACAGACTGACGAGCTCTCAGGGGCAGAGACGGAAAAAGTAAGTATGTTTCTCTGGCACTAAAGGTTTTGCACTGTGCACATTTCCTGAAGTTAGAACTCACAGCAGGGATCCTAAGGCGCTGTTTTACCGCTGTCTGGCTTCTGGCCGTTTCCAGCAGCGGAGCTTCGCTGCTGGGGCCATCGGGGGTCTCTGGCATGGTCTTGGGCTTTGGAGAGACGAGCCCACGCAGGGGTGACGAGGCCACTCGTATTTTGACTGCAGGTGCAGGTATTCTTTGAATATCCTGAAAAAGAGTTTTTAAAAATTACTGGAATTCAGCCTGTGGGAGGCTGAGGCAGGAGGATGGTTGCGAGTTCAAGGCTAGCCTGAACTGCATAGCGAGACCCTGTCTCAAAAAAAAAAAAAAAAAAAAAATTAGCAGAATTTGGTTGATGATATAGCTCAGCTGCCTGGCAAATGCGAGGTCCTGAGTTCAATTCCTAGTACCAAAAAAAAAAAAATTACCAGAATTTTATTCCCTCTTTTTATATTTTTCTTTTTTTTTGTCTTTTTGAGACAGGGTCTCACTATGCAGTTCACGCTGGCCTTGAGCTCACTTACGTAGCCCAGGCTGGTCTTGAACTCCCAACAATCCTCCTGCTTTAGCCTCCTGAATGCTGGGATTACAGGCGTGTGCCACCATGCCCGGCTACTCCCTCAGTTTTAAAGGAAATGTAATATGGGAACAAAATATTGTAATAAAACGGAAGGCAGCCAGCATGGTGATACACACCTGCCGTCCCAGCTACTGTACAGCTGGCTGCGGCAGGAGGGTTGCAAGTTTGAGGCCAGCCTGGGCTCCATAGTGAGACCCTGTGTCAGAATAAAATGTTTCAAAGGGCTGGGGTGTAACTCAGTGTTCCCTGGGCCCAGTCCCCAGGACTAAGAAGGGGCTGGGGACAGATGGGGTTCAGTGGGAGAGCTCTTGCTCTGTATTCAATCTCCAGTGCGTACAAAAAAAAAAAAAACAAACAGGTAAAATCAGTTATCTTTCATCAGCCCTCCAGCCAAAGTCTGACTGTACTGTAGCTAAAGGTTACTTCTCAGCTGAAGGGCAAGATTGTAATATTGACACCTTGTGTTTCAGATTCAATTGCAGTCACTGGTGGAAATGACCATACTTTCAAGTGGTATTTTAAAGTGAAGTTTTGTTCATCTTTATAGCCATAGGGAAGTCGCTGGATCTAGAAGTCCAATGAGCAACTGTAGGCAAGCTTCACTGCGGCCTGGTTACTGGAGTGCGTGACAGCAAGGTGTTTTCTATTCCAGAAGCGCATGCTAGCTGTTTGATCATGGCACTTGGGACAACCTCCAATTCTATTTTATTTTATTTTTTGTTTTTTTTCCGGTACTGGGAATCAAACTCACAACCTGCGCTTGCCAGGCAGGCGCTATGCCACTGAGCTAAATCCCCAGCCCCCTCCAATTTTAATATTCATAGGAAAACCTGAATTTTTCCTCAATTTTATCTATGATGGTCAAAAAATAGATTGCTTAACTTCCAGTTACTTATTCTTTCTTCCCCCCTCTTTTTGTTTTTTTTTTGTCTTTCATTCGTTTGTGGTACTGGGAGTTGAACTCAGGACCTTGCGCTTGCTAAGCAGGCACATGCTGACGAGCTATCTCCCTGGCCCTCTCTTTTTGGTTTTTTGAGATAGGATCTTGCTGTGTAGTTCTGGCTAACCTTAAACTCACTGTGTAACCTAGGTTCACAGTGATCCTCCTGCCTCAGCCTCTTGAATGCTTGCAGACAGGCATCACCATGCCTGGTTCATGCATTCTCAGGTGAATAAATCTGGTACTGAGCTAGGATAATTTAGTTTTCCGGTTCTCCTGCACCAGGGCATTGAAATGAAAGAAAGGGGCACCCAGCATGAGAAGGGAGCAGGCAGAAAGGAAAGGGTGGCTTCCTCCGGAGAAGGCTGCTGGGCTGGGCTTAACAGGAAGCACCACTGTGGGAGCTGCAAGCACAGAAGTCCCAGGGCTGACTTCTCTCCGCCACAAGCCGAGTCACTGGGATTCATTATTCTTACATAGTCATATATGTACACATCTATGACTTAGGGACTGGAGACGGAACCCAGGCACTCCACACTGAGCTATTCTGAGACAGGGTCTTGCTAAACTCAACTTTGTAGGGGATTACAGGCGTGCAACCCCATACCCAAAATTGGTCCTGCTTATGGAACAAGATGTTGAGGGGGCCTTGGCACTCCGAGTTGGTCAGCTGATCCCGTAGATAATGAATTTTTTTTTTTGGTACTGGGGATCAAACTCAGGACCTTGTGTTTGCCAAGCAGGCGCGTATGCCACTGAGCTATCCAGTCCCAGATAATGAATTTTTTTTTGTTTGTTTGTTTGTTTTTCTCTGGTACCTGGAACCGAACTCACGACCTTGCACTTGCCAGGCAGGCACTTTTGCTGCTGAGTTAAATCCCCAGCCCCCCAGATAATGAATTTTAAAGGTTGATTTTGGCTTTCAGTTTTGGGGCTCCGCGCCAGGGCTGACTGGCTTGTTGCTGGGGCCTGTGGGGAGGCGGCACATCCTGGCCAGAGCGTGTGGCCAGGCAAAGCTGTTCACTTCCTGGCCCAGGAGCAAGAAGGAAAGGAGACCAGAGCCCATGGCCTCCCCCAAGGGCTAGCGGTCAGAACCAGAAGGCCCCCGCGAGCCCCCCTTTTTTTCTTTTTGCATTATTAGGTGTTGAACTCAGGGCCTTCACACTGAGCTACATCCCCAGCACCTTTCATTTTTTGTGACAGTTTTGTTAAATTGTCCAGGCTGGCCTCGGACCTCCTACCTTGCCTCCCAGAGGACTGGGATTACGGGTGTGCGGCACCACACCTAGGGAGGCCCCGCCTCCTTCCACTGGCCCCAGTGGGTGGGGCACGTGCTTCTGCGGGCCGTTCCACATCCAGAGGTTACAGGAAGATTCGAAGCCAGGGTCCTAAGACCTCCCGTTCACCTGAGGGCCACGGGTCGCCCGCGCTGAAGCTGACCGTGGTCACTTGGTGGATGCCAGAAGGCAGGCTTGTGCCGACCACCTCCGAGGGCAGGGAGCCCCTGGGTTTCGCGGGCCCCTCCCTCCTCCTGCCCTGGAGTGCACACGGCGGGCACGGACACAGGTCCTGGCAAAGAAAGCAAAGGTGACTGTGGCCTCCACGGGCCTGTGGCTGCCCACAAAGGTCTCGGTGCCGACCTCAAAATCACGGAAAGTCGTGGCGTCACAGAAGCGTTGCACAGACGCACATTTCCTGTTTCCTTCTCTTGGCTAATTTAGCTCAAATCGACCCTGAAACAGTCATCTCCCCTCAGGTGCCCTCGCAGGTAACCGTTTGCAAGTCAGTACTGACCAGACATAGATTATCACGGAAGCACCGCGGCCTTCCAAAACGGCGCCGCGCCTCGGGCCTGCAGGCTTTGCAAGGGAGCCGCGCCTTCCAGCCACCGTTCAACCTCGGCCCCACCGACGGATGTTCGTGCTCCTGCGAGCTCACCGCTGCGGCTTCCGAGGTGCTGCCACCTGCAGGGAAACGGCCCTCGGCGCCCAGACCGAGCTCGGCCAGACGCCGCGAAGGCGGGACTCGGGGCGAGAGGACTAACGACAGGTAGGCCCGCAGGTCGCGGTCGCAGCAATCTGCAGGCGCAGTAGCCCGAGCGCGGAGCGCACGCGGCGCGCATGTGCGCAGCCCCAGCGGCGTGGGCGGGGCATCGCCGGGCCCGCTCGCCGCCTCCCACCTCCGGCCGCCAGGGGACGCGCCCGGGCCGGCTCCTCGCGCTTCCGCCGGCGCCCCGCCCGCCTAACTCGCCCTGCACCGCGATTGGCTGCTCGCAGGGAGCGCGCCGAGTCAGGGGGCGGGGCCCGCGCCGGCTACAAAGCGGCGAAGGTCACGGCGCGAGCAGGCGCGTCGCCGCCAGCGCCCCAGGCCCGCTTCCCTGCTACCCGCGCCGGAGCCATGGAAGGACTGAGCGCGCTGCTGGCCCGCTGCCCCACGGCCGGCCTGGCCGGTGGTCTGGGCGTGACGGCGTGC